ACAGCCTGTGTAAGCCTTGTGTTCATTATTTTCTATCCTTCCACCTCCGTCAGTCATCGTACCATCCAAGTGATTGTTGTTTCTCACGCTGACAGGAGAGCAGAGATCCACGCAAGCTTCACTGGTTGTTTGAGATGCTAATGGAGTCCCCAGTCAATGGAGAGGGAGGCTCTTTTGTCGATGCCTGGTGAGTAAAAAGTTACATCTTTGAGGAGATGCTGATGCCGTTGTCGGTGGGACTTAACAATCTGACACTTGTAATGGATTTTCTTTTCAGTCGTCTATACGTGCTCCAGGGTGGTCTAGCTCAGCAGGAGTGGAGGGTACCTGAGCTACTCCACAGGTTGCTGCAATACCTGGAGCCCAAGCTCACACAGGTTTACAAGAATGTACGCGAGCGCATTGGCAGGTGAGACGCTTTTCGCACCCAGATTAAGCTTAAATGTGTCATCAAGTTATTATAAATTCGTTTGTATATCGTTTTTCTTTCATCCTCCCTCTCTACTTTTCTATCCTTCCAGCGTGCTCACGTATATCTTCATGATTGATGTCAACTTGCCATACACTCAGCCCACCACCTCCCCACGCATCTCGGACTTCACGGAGAGAATTCTGTTGCGGCTGAAACCTTTAAATGAGGGCGATGAGGAAATCCAGAACCACGTGATTGAGGAGAATGAGGTGGGAGTGCAGGATGAGAGGACTCAAGCAATCAAGTTACTCAAAACAGGTGGGTGGTTGATCTGTTGTCACTAACCAAATCAGTTTCTTTGCGAGACACACTCGACTGTGGCATTTATGAAACGATTCGTCCTGTGAATTTCTGCAGTGCTAAAGTGGCTGATTGCGAGTGCTGGTCGCTCCTTCTCCACTGCTGTCTCAGAACAACTGCAGCTGCTTCCCCTGCTCTTCAAGGTGAAATACTCACATTCAGTCTTAGCTTAGCTACCTTCGTCACTACCACCTTCAAGTTTTCTTTTTGTTGTGTTGTATACACTATAACATTTAACCCGTTGCTGTCGTGTTTCAGATTGCGCCGGTTGAAAATGATGACAGTTATGATGAATTAAAGAGGGATGCAAAGACCTGCCTGTCTCTGATGTCTCAGGGACTCCTCTACACAGAGCAAATCCCCATGGTCCTCAGTGTCCTACAGGAGGTAGGTCACCTGGCCGATGTGGCTGTCACTCAGCTTTTTACCTGCATCACATAACACTGGGGTTTTCACTGATTATCACTGATCATAAAAGAAAGGTTCAGTGGGAAAGACAAAAGAATCAAAGGCATCTGATTATACTTAAATTTCTTTGACATTATGTAATGCTTTATCTGTCCATGCCTGCTATACTGTATTCATCATTGTTCCAATAAAAGGATTGCAAAGACAAACATGCTTATTGTGTACACCTGAAGTATGTTGCTGATGTGAGGCTGGCTCTGTTGCTGTGTGTTACAGATTGCTGGCAGCAGCTCCTGGCACGCTCGCTACACGGTGCTCACATACCTCCAGATAATGGTTTTTTACAACCTGTTCACATTCATGAGTGACCAGAAGGCAGTGAATGATGTGCGGGCGCTGGTGATAAAGCTGCTGGAGGACGAGCAGCTTGAGGTAACTTGAAATGTAAAGATGAATGCAGAAACATGTACCTGGAGTGGCATGAGCAGGAGCTGGAACCTAGCTTGAAGATAAAGAAACATGTGACTCTCGGATTATGTAACACTCGCCAAGCAACTGGCCACTATGTGCTTGTTTATGCTAGCAGGCACTCGCACTGTCTTTCAGCTTCACTGTAGTGATTCAGCGCGCTCCTCGTGGCTCTCTACTCTCTTCCCCCTTCCAGTCCTCTAGCTGTTGCCATGGAAACCACAGGCTGCAGTAATCTGTTGCTATGGAGATAACGTTTCGGATTGAACGAGAGTGAAAGGGAGAAGGATGGAGTAGAGACAAAGAAGAAGTGGGGGATGGAATTTTTGTTTGGCCACTTAAAGTCCCCTGAGCCTAATTTATCGGCCTTAGTGATGCAATATGTTTGTCTTGTTGTATTTAAAGATGCCTGTCCACTGAAAAACACCGGTCTAAGACTGAGAATTCCATTGAGAATAGAGCTGAAACAACATGCTACGAAGCATTTGGCTCCCATTATAGAAAAGCACTGAGTCCCCAGCTGGCTGTTTAAGTCCAGGTAGCCGGTGTATTTCCTAATGGGCCACCCTGCTTCTGACCCCGATACTGCAGCTATGGCATGCCTGGTACCGTACAGTAGTCATCGAGGTGCCAGAGCTCATGTGTCAGTACATAAATGTACTTATGCTGTGCCAACATTGTTTTGGGTGGAAATATGAATTTGAACCAGTGTTGTTTGAATATGAAATTCTTAAAAAGCGTTCATTCTTTGATGGAGTCACATGCCTCTGGGAGCACCAGTAATGATTAACACACAGGGGTCCAGGCATTATCATAATTGGATGATGAGTCTTAAGCCTTTTAAATGCATCAGTCGGTGGCCAGTTACCAGATGCAATCCTAACCCATTACCTATGAGCAAACGTCAGCTTTTTAATCTGTTACCTCAGTTGGATTGTTTTGTGTCTTGTAATTGGTGTTATGTCCATCTCATTTTCGGCCTTTGTTTTCTAGGTAAGAGAAATGGCCGCCACTACACTCAGTGGCTTCCTTCAGTGCAATTTCCTGTCCATGGATGCCCCAATGCAGGCACATTTTGAGGCTCTCTGCAAGACTCGCTTGCCTAAGAAGAGGAAGAGAGATCTTGGCTCTATAGTGGACACCATCCCATCGGCTGGTAAGGAACTTGCTAAGAGTTACCTACCAACCAAAGATTGTGTGGGGTTTTTTCAGTGTCATTTGAATTTAAATGGAATCGCTACTCTTGTGTGTTTGCAGACCTGGTGCGCCGCCATGCTGGTGTTCTCGGGTTGAGCGCTTGCATTCTTTCTAGCCCATATGACGTCCCCACCTGGATGCCCCAGCTGCTGATGGACCTGAGTGCTCACCTCAATGACACACAACCCATTGAAGTATGTGTGGTCAGCGATTAATCGCCATTTATTATGGCATATCCAAAAGCTAACCATCACTTCTGTGGCGTCTCCTTTTAGATGACTGTAAAGAAAACCCTGTCAAACTTCCGACGGACACACCACGACAACTGGCAGCAGCATAAGCAGCAGTTCACAGATGACCAGCTGCTCGTCCTCACTGACCTGCTGGTCTCTCCCTGTTATTATGCCTAAAACCTGGTAAAGAATTATTTTACACTGTTGCCAAGTCATTACTGTCCCTGACTGTATTGTCTTCATTTTAACTAACTTTTTACATTTAATCTTTTTTTGTGTTTCATTGGAAACAGTTTGGAACAGCTCCAGTCTGTGCAGACATCAGCCTACATTGGGGAGAGGACCTGAGTGATTGACTGAGATAATACACAACATCCCAGCAGCATCAGATGAAGAGTGGCACTCAGAAGGATTAAAATGTTGTGTATTTATGTATTTAGCTCATTTGCATTGCTACTATACTTAATATTTAAGGATCCATCATAGCAGGGATGAATGGCCTGCAGTTTGTAACATTACTGTACAGATTTTTTGTTTTCTTTTTCTTTTGTGGTTTGCGTGCATGTCCACGTATGTGTGCGCGCGTGTGTGTGTGTGAAGGTTGATGGATGCTTGAAGACATCAGCCGGTGTCCCACACATTTCTCAGGATTATATCCCAAGTATCAGCTCTGAGCCAACACATTGTCCAGTTTAGGACATACTCTATCTTCCAGCAGTGAAGTGTTTGGTGCAAGCCAGAGAGAACTGAACAATGGTCTCTTTAGTTTAGACTTACAACTTGCAACACACAATGTTTGTGTGGTTGTTTGATCTATATGTGGTTATATGCATCATGTATGTGTATATCATGGTATAGCAAATATGCACAAACATTTATTTATTTACCTTTTTTTTTTTTTTTTTTTTGAAGTGCTAAGTTTTCATTATTGTATTTTTTTCTTTTCATAGAGAGTATATCTGAAATTAAGTAGATGGCTGAGCTGTGGGCAGCGGAGCCTGTTGTCAACTACTCCTGCAAAGATAGGGAGAGCACAAACTCCCCGCTGCTGTGCTGTGTGGATTCGAGCACAGTGAGATCACTCTTTGACGTGTCTCTGTGCACGAAAAAGAAAAACTGCCTGTCTATAATTATAACCCTTTCCTTTTTATCACAGGTACCATTTACTTTTTAACATAAAGTAATGACTTTGGTTTGCAGTCTGGTTTCCCCTGATGACTTAAAATCAGTCTAAGCGTCAAAGCATTTAGTACCTCACTAACTAGAGTAGTGCCAAAACTGCAGTGAGTTTTCCTTCCCTTCTGTTTTTTTTTTCTTTTTTTTTGTTGTTTTTTTTAGATATACTGTTTGCTTAATTAAAGACAATAAAATGAAAAAATGTTTTTAACAAAAATCTGCATATGAGCGTTTTTCTTTTTTGTCACATTTTTATTGGGATATTATATCAGATACTGGACCAAAATTTAAAAAAAAAAAAAAAAATCAAAGTGTGCAGCATAAGCTTCAGTGTTGATATTTTTAGAACTTGTTTGTTCCAACATGCAGAACACTTGATCCCTGCTCAGTGTTTCAGCTCTTTACAGAGGGGTTTGTGGCCCTGCTTGAAGTATTGTCCGTGAAAAGCGGGAAAAATAATAATTAATGCTCATATTTTTATTTGTCATATTGATCATGCTGAATGACACCTTTAAAAATTATATACATTTTTGTAATAAATTTTAAAAATTTAAACAGTTTTTGTTGAAATCAGTCTAAATAGATACAAGATAAATAGTAGTTAATAGTTATATATTTATATATGTATAATTTTTTTTTTGTTTTTTCACGTCCTTGGCAGAGACTGTTTAAATAGGGGGGCGCCATTTTTCGCATAAACTATAATACGTTACCATGGTGAAAGCAAAAATAAAATAAATTGCTGCGGTAATATATTTGACGTGTCGGATAATGGCGCTTCTGTCAAATTTCAAATGTTTGAAATAAATCCCGCAAATTCTCCTTTCTTACTCCGCCAGCTGACTCCCAGTGAGGGAAGCGTTTCTATGGACGGACTACTTGAATGCAGTGGTTATGCTCATGCCCGGATACGTAGACGGTGACTTCATACTCATTTTTCAGTGCACGTCCAGTAGCCGTCGCTTCTCTATTTGAATGGATTTATCGTAAAGAAAAGAAACAAGCTGCCATCTACGTGTTCGCGCTGATTTACACAGACATGTAAGGAAACGTGAAGATTATCGATTCTTTCCGACGGACTGTTGCGTTAAGGTGAGCTGCTAAAATACATTTTTCCTTCTTTGTTTCCGAAGCAGCGGTGCGTTCACTATCGCACTGCCTTAAAAATGATGAAGACGGGCTGTATGAAATAATGAGGATCGCACGATCTAGTACAGGTAGTGTGCTATATTTTCTAAGCAATAGTGAATCCTGGATTGTGCAGCCCGTTAAAGCCTTAAAACCAACATTCGTTTTGATATTCAGAGATTTTTCTTTCTTTCTTTTTTTTATTAAGCAGACGCTGCTGTGTGTGTGTGAGAGAGAGAGTTAAAGGGGGATGATGGGGAGGTAAGGTAATTGGCCAAATGCAGTGGTGCATAGCCTATTATACCCTTTTCTAACGTTTCTGATCAAATTGTAAGTTATCCATCCATTTCTCCTCATTATCATTATAACTGTATTGAAGACCAGCCCATAGAGCTGATTGTATTTATATTCTTTGTCGTTTTCTACCAAGGTGGCAGCAATGGTGGAAGCATGTGCTCCTTCCTCTTAGAGGAATAATACTGAAATTGATGAATGTGGAGTCGCTCTAAATCATCAGAGTACAATGAACACCACTCTTACACCCTCGGACCTGGTGGATGTGCCAAGACTGCAGACCTTCAATGGCACCCTGGGTAACCAGACCCCCTCGGGCTGGGCCGTGATCCACACTGCTACCTTGACTTTTTGTTCCCTCCTCCTCATCTTTATCTTCTTCCTGGGCTCTTATGGGAATCTTGTTGTGTTCCTGTCTTTTTTCGACCCGGCGTTTCGCAAGTTCCGCACCAACTTTGATTTCATGATCCTCAACCTGTCCTTCTGTGACTTGTTCATTTGTTGCGTGACCGCTCCCATGTTTGCGCTGGTGCTCTTCCTGGATGCAGGCGGAGGGGATGGCGTGTCAAAGAGTTTCTGCTTCGCCTTCCACTTGACCAGTTCGGGCTTCATCATCATGTCCCTGGAGACGGTGGCTGTCATTGCTTTGCACAGACTTCGCATGGTTTTGGGACAGCAGCCCAACCGCACTGCTTCCTTCCCCTGCACGCTGGCCCTGACTGCCTTGCTGTGGACATCCAGCTTCACATTAGCTGCTCTCCTCACCATGCGCGCATACCCACGCAAAGATGGACCCTGCTTGCCCCACTTTGGCCTGGGAAGTGGGCAGGCCAGGGTTGTGTTGTACGTCTACCTGGCAGTTTTTGCCTTTTGTGTTGCTGTGGTGTCTGTGTCGTATCTGATGATTGCTCAGACCCTGAGGAAGAACGCACAAGTAAGGAAATGCCCAATCATCACTGTAGATGCCACCTGCCCTCCACCCCCACCACCTCTCATTGCAGCAGGCTTTGAAAGCATGCAGTGTGCCGTTCAAGGCCCCTCTCTGTACCGTAACCAGACTTACAACAAACTGCAGAATGTACAAACGCACGCCTATGCCAACAGGACAAACCAGCCGGTGGTTCCAGGGGCCGCCCAAGGAGCCACCTGCTGTCAGCTGGTCTCCACAGTCAACTTAGCCACAGCCAAAGACTCCAAGGCAGTTGTCACCTGTGTAGTTATAGTATTCTCTGTGTTACTCTGTTGTCTGCCGATGGGAGTTTCACTGGCACAGGATGTTTTGTCACCAGAAAGCAGCTTTGCACATTACCAGTTCGAACTGTGTGGCTTTGTGCTCATTTTTCTCAAATCAGGCATCAATCCATTTGTGTACTCGCGCAACAGTGCAGGCCTCCGCCGCCGCGTACTGTGCTGCATTCAGTGGGCCGCACTTGGATTTCTGTGCTGCAAGCAAAAGACACGCCTGCATGCAATGGGGAAGGGGAGCCTGGAAGTCAATCGCAATAAATCCTCCCATCACGAGACCAACTCAGCCTACGTCCTGTCACCTAAGCCACAGAAGAGGCTGGTAGACCAGGCTTGTGGACCCAGTCATTCCCGGGATTGCGCTGGCAGTCCCAGGGCGACCGGTACACGCAAACCTCGCCTCCCGAGCACCTCTACACCCATCAACACCCGGATTGAGCCCTACTACAGTATATACAACAGCAGTCCCTCAGCAGGGCCCAGCTCCCCCACCAGCCTACAGCCTATCAGCTCTCAGACATTTGCCTTTGCCAAGTCCTATGTAGCCATGCACTACCACACTCACCAAGATGCTCTGCAGGACTTTGAAAGCACCTCAGTGCACCAGATTCCCGTGCCCTCGGTATAGTCAAAGAACAGAAAGCTTTGGACAATCTCTCCATGATGTTAAATCCAATGTGAATCAAAGGAGGAACGTGTAAACAGGCCATTTTTATGTCTTTGGGCTCAGTATTAACATTTTGTTCTCTCCTACAGTAGAAAGATGTTGCGATTTTGTGACTGGAGAAATGACAAGAACCAGAATTACAGTATAAACTTTGCCTTTGAAACTGAAATGAGAAACAGATTTAGAATAAAAGTTTATGTTCCAGCAAGTTATTTATTGATATTGAATTGATTTATTGAGGTTTTCACTGAACCCAAAGTCACCAGTTGCTAGTTTCGATCCCAGTTCCTCTCTGGCTGGAGATAGGAGTGAAACCAGCTTCTTCAGCATCAGGCCACTATGAAACCCCATACGGCTGTCAGTGGTACGTGGTTGCACCTGGATAGACTCTCTTCTCAAGAGAAAAAAAAGAGTCTGAGCCTCATACACTTCTTTTTTCTTAAAAACCCACAATAAATAACTGGCAAGTACAAATGTAATGTCTGTGAGATCTACACCTGTTACTGTGCTGTTACTACACATACACATAGCATCAGCGCCCTCTGGCGGCCGAATAAATAAAACACTAAATTCTACACTTAACTTACTTGATCAGGGGTGTCAAACCTCAGGCCCAGGGCCTGGAATCAGCCTGCTAAAGACTCCAATCCAGCCCCACTGGACAGATTTGAAAAAATGTAGAGAAAGGCACAAGTTTTGGGGCTTTTAGCTGTTTTTTCACAAGTTTAACAGCTTCATTTTTACTGATTTAAAAACCTCCCATATAACCACTCAAGCTACACCAAACAAATTCGGTTATTAAAAAATAAATGACAGAAAACTTCCTGTGCTTTTCATTATCTACTATAAAAATGTGTTATACACAGGATACATTGTGTATCCATTGGTCAGATGGATGCATTTCTTCTGTAGTTGAACACATTTATGCACAAGCCATTCAATTACTACAGTAAAATTTCTTTATCAAGTAGAAAAAACTGACACTTTCTGTTGAAGTTGCACTTTATTTTTATATTTAGATACCTTGAGGATTAAATGTGGTCTTGAAATGGTCCAACCCACTTAAAATCAAAGCGGGGAGTTTGAGTTAGATATCCCTGAACTACATATTTCCCTAATGTCTTGAATCTACTCTTTTCTGTGGTAATGGAAAACTAAAATAAGGTTTCATGTTTTGATTTTTTTAATTCTTTGCTGTAAATGCATTGGTTTTTATTCCAGAGATACAGCAGTAGTCGGATCCCAGTGTGCATCTTCATAAAACCACAAAACGAACCTTTTAAATGAACCTGCACACACTCTGTACATCCTACAACCTTACACTCACTTTTATTGTTATTCCACAGCAATCTCTAATGCATAAGTTACACTCACACAGCACACAGTCTCCCTGCTGTGAAGCATTTTCAGATGTTTTTCATATCTACAAGTAAAAAAGTGCCACAGTCAAGCAGCTAATCAATCCATATCTCTCTCTCTCTCACTCTCACACACACACACACACACACACACACACACACACACACACACACACACACACACACTATGAATATTGTTAATTCCCCTGATGATTCGTCACTCCTTTTCTTGCAATCAATCATCACAAAGTGAAGCATAGATATGAAGTTCAAGCAATAACTCCACTGCCTGAATTTGATTTAAGTTAGAGTCGGGCTGATGTAGCGTCACCCATCGCACAGGTCATGGGAGTGTGGGCGGGGCCTGTTCTCCCTGGGCTACATGAGGTCCAGCCTCAGGATTGAGTTTCTCAGTTTTGGCTTGTAGCGCAGTCTTAAGGGCATCTTGCTTACTAAGTGTCCTCGTTCTTTATGTCCTCCGTGCACCGCTGCTGTTCCAGTAAAACTCCGCCAGTTTAACTGGAGAGTGACAGAAGCCCATATTCATCAGCAGTGTCAAGAATCCTGCATATGACCGGTGACTCAACCTACAGAAAAAAAAAAAGCCATCTTCAATATGGTGCCTTTCATTTAGGATGATATGCCTGCACAACGCCAGTATAGTTAGATAATTAAATCAGTGTTTAGATCAGTGTCATTTCCTTTGTCAAATCTACAGGAAGTACTGCAAATATTTGCAAATATCTAGGCATGTTTATAATAATTCCTAATTAAAGAAACCAAAAGTTATATATTTTAACTTGTCACAGAGAAAAGGCATAAAGGGAACAAAATAACACCAAGATTGGCTCATGTACATCAAATTTATCCATGCAGTTAAACAATCTGCAGTTTCTTCTTTATATTTATCCGTAAAACTGATATAAATGTGTTTTACAAAGGACTAAACCTTCACATAAGATTCATAATGTTACTAAGCAAATTCTACTGTTTTCTTTTTTTTGCCACTCTGGAGTGAAACATAAACTTACCCCAAGGACATACTGACAAGTCTGAGGCTCCAGCATATAGACAGTGACAGCATGGGGAGACTCAGACTCCTTACATCTGACAGAGAGAAGAGAAATGATATGAGTGAATCAAAATGGGAAACACTGACAACTTAGTCTTACTCATCCGTGGACTCGGGCTGATGTGCTCCACTCTTCATCCCCTAGTTCTAGGTAACTGTTCACTCACTTGAGCTTGACGATGACCTGTCTGGGCTTCCCTGTCAGGTCACACACATCACCGTGACCATAGAAGTGGGAAACCAACCTATTGTGGAGTAAAGGGGAAAAGAAAAAGTAGTGGGTGGATATTTTTGTATCCCGTTTACAGCGATTAGTGTTCAAAAATCTGAAAGGCCTACTTGACTTTCTGCACTCCGTCCTCTCTGAGCTGGAGGGATCGGGCGACGTTCTTCTTGGCCCAGTCGAGGTGTTCATCTGCATTCCAGTTCCCCACCACTACAATGTTCTTCCCTTGCTCTTTATCCTACAACACAAAGAAAAGATAATCTGGCTGTTACAGAAAATACTCTCGCTTACTGCTTTATAGCCAGCGTACAATCTAAAAAGGTACTAGAAGTGCATTTGATTATTTACTTTTTCCAAGTTTGAATTCACTCGCTTACCTCATGGTACTGATGGACGTGCCTTCCGTAACAGAATTCATATTTCCACCATCCTACACCCTGAAACGCACATGTTAAGATGATTAGTGTTCCCTGAGCAGGTTATGTATCAGTGCTCAGCTTCCAACACATAAACGCGCCTCACCCCGTGCAGACAGTACGAGCCACTCAGGAACTCCTTAATTAGCTGTTCGTCTGTCAAGCGAGAGATGTGCGTGGTACCAACAGTGACCTGAGACTGCCCTCCGACGGTCATGGGTTTGTGGGTGGAGGTGAAGGCTTCTTCTCTCACTGCTGACGTCTCCTCCTATGATATACCACAAATGTAAATAAGCCACGTTTCGTGTGCTCAGGTGATCACCGTTTACCTTTGCACGTCTTACCTCTCTGGGCTCAGATGTGGCACCGAAAGGTGGTTTAAGCTGCTCCTCTTGTTCTTTGTCCAACTGGGCGAGCCGCTGAGGCCGCAGAGGGGAGCCCGCCAGAGCCTGGCAGAAGATGGCGTTCACCGGGGAGGATTTGAACCTGCGAACAAGTGACGTGAGCAGGTGGATTTTAAAGTATTTATTGGGAAATATATGAAAAATAAAAAGTCTCAGTTTGAGTTTTTCCTTTAAAATGTTGTCTTTATACAACTTTCAGTTAAATATAAGGTTAAAATGATCTGCAAATCATTGCAGTCTGCTTTAAACGACAAGCTACACCTTACTGTTTTACAGCAGCCAAAAACAGGCTTTAACTAAACAGCTCAGTGCCCCCATAGTTAACACAGTCACCTAAACTGCTAAACATCTGCAGTTAAAGACCGAGAGGAGAAACAAATCCCGGGGGACGTTGCATCAAAACAGCATCTGTTGCAAGAATTTTGCATGATATTTAAAACATGCGGATCCATCAGCAGCAAATAAAAGGCTATAACAAAACAGCTCTTCTTTTGTGTTTTGTGTGCTATTAAAGCATTTTTCTATTTGCTGGTGCTTTCTTAATTTGCAGTGAGTTTGACCTCTCAGGGCCACCGTCTTAAATATAATAAGACAAACTAACAAACAAACTAAATACAGGTGTCGCGCTCTATTAAAGTGTAACCATCTTAACAGATCTTACCTGTATTTTGGGTGTGCACAAAGCAGAGGCGTCAGCACCACCACCTCATATTCGCAGGTGGTGACCTCAGCGACAGACAAGATCTCGTGCTTGGCCTCCGGATGGCAGACGTACAGCACGGCTGTGGAACGAGGCTGGTCCTGTTTCAGCAAACACGGAGTCCCGTTTCCCATCTCCACTGAGTAGTAGGGAGTCAGCTGACCTTCAATGTTCTTAGTGGGCACCTGACGTTAGAAAAAGGGGAAGGCAACAGGAAAGATATATGAGACTGAAAAACTAGACTGGCAGATTTGCTTGGTTACTCAGTAGAATACTTGCTTTGGTTTCGGACGGTTTGACGCTGTCTGTCTTCTCAGCTTGATCTGAAAAAAAAAGAAAGGCCAAATATGATTAACGTTCAATTTAAAAAAAAAAAAAAAGCAGTGTAAGATATACATATATATAGAAACTTACCTGTCTCTGTTGATTGGCTCTTTTGAGCCATATTTCCCAAGAAGTACTCTTGTACACTGATCTTCTGTGGAAACATGCAAGCTTAGCGAACCGTAACGAGTGCACATTTTCCATTCCAGTCTAAAAATATTTCAAATAACTCAAAGCACTGACCTGAGAAGTCTCCTTCTCTTCATGGTACTGCCTTACATGTTTTCCATGGCATACTTCGTACGTCCAGTATGACTCAATCTACATTGGTATAAATATATGCTCAGCAATACACTCAAACAACATGATTTTTGTCATGCTCTGCTACTATAGTGTGACTGTGACTTTAAACTGCATGCAGTTTCAGTCTCTGTGTGGAGGAATATGAGATGAAAACAGAAAAGTCTCACCCTGTAGGAGCAGCTGCTTCGTTTGAATAGCGACTCGAGCAGTTCACCTGGACTGGGCCCGCCGTACTCCTTTTCATCATCCTGCAGCACCAAACAAATGCAACAAGAGTGATGAGAGACAAGAGATAACACATGCTTTTTTTTTTAACTCTAGGAAAGGAGGGAAACTGAAACCTTTATTAAAGGCTTATTTAGCATTTTGTAACTGATGTTTTATCATACCCTCCTATTAGGTTGTATTGGTCTTCATTCAAGGCAGAATTACAGACAAATATTTCAGCAACCTTTTATCGCTTAACACAGCTCTATAGTGCTTCTTCTATGAGGGTTGCTGTGTCACGGCACAGTTACATAGTCTCTGGTTTCGAATATAAAAAGATAAAACAGTCAGTGCTTTCCACATAATCTCTTAGAATCAGATGATTTTTTTTGGCACAATGCTTTTAGTATGTTTAATGAAACCACGCAAAATTTTGTCTTCACACCATGAAGATTTTCTGCGTCACAGGCTCTCCAGATACAAAGGGGTCGGTGGACAAGCTGCACTTTTTATTGCCTTTTTTCCCCCTTCAAGATTTTTTGAGCCCTTATTATTGAGTAAGTACCACAGTGAGTTCTTTTCGTTCAGGACAAACTTTCCCATAGGCAGCAGTGAGAATCGGTAACACAGGATATGTCACAGTTTTTGTCGTTTGCACCAACGTGACAACAATGACGCAGAGTAACAGGAGCAAGCTCTCGCACCTCGGATGTTTTGCCTGTTTTATGATAATTTACTACAGATAAATATAAAAAAAAACCTATTAGCAAACAATGCTGTTCACATGTTGTATGTAACAGTTTGGACATATCACATTGATCAAACAACTTCAGGTCCTGAAGAATTCTGTGGAATGACTCACACTTTTTAACGCAACTGTATCACAATTTATCTTTTTTCCTCACATCTGCAGGCAGGTTATAATCACCTGTGCAGAAACAACACAAAATTGCTCCGTGCCTAGCTCTGCTAGTGCAAACTAGTTCAGTGGCAAGCTCTCATAACTCTTTAGATAAACAGCTGTGCCATTCCCAGAAAGTGTTAGGAGTGCTCACCTCCTCTCCAGCCGTCAGTGAAGGGAGGAGACATTTGTACTTCTCCTTCTCTGTTGTGGTCAAGATGACAAAGTCTTCCTCACTGTAAAGTGCACCTGAAGTTGGCTGCGGGCGGGAGATAAACATCTGTTACTTCAACTCAGGTCTTGTGTGACAGAAAGAGAAAGAAGTCTAAAACAAAGTGACATTTACGTCTCCTGATCCCGTTAGGGCAGATGAGTTTCTTTAGTGACACTAAAAGAGGAGACATACCAGCGTAAATTCAGCGCCAGGCCAGGTGATTTTGAAAGGGATTTCGTCTGTGAATGAGGGATAGCCTCCTCTGTTGGCTGAAACGCCGCTGCAGACCTCCAGCAGCCCCCCGACTAACGCCAACAGCAGCCCCGCCATCATCTCTCCTTCCCCGGCTGCTGAGCTCCTACAGCCCGCTCTTCAT